CGGCGAACATGTTAGCATGTTGCTCATTACACACGGCCAGTTACTGACCAATATTAGCATTTATTTAAGTAATGTTAAGGTCCACCATACATATATAAGTCATATTCTCTCTCTTTTAGCACTGTTTTGGTCAGCACCAGCTCCTGATCAACAGTGATTTGATGACTTTTAACAGGCAGTATGGACTGGAATGAATTAGGGGTAGGGTTAGGCCCCCAGTGGGTCTTTGGGTGTATTTTCAGCAGCACTGAATGATCACAGAAATGTTATAGGATTATAGGAATACTACAGGCAGCATGTGTTTGACCATATCACTCTACTGCGACTACACGTTGGCTGGTTAACAAGAGGCAATACCGCCTTAAGAGCAGAGATTTAAACTGCAGGAGCTTGATGAGTGGATGAGTCTCTGGTGTGCAGGTGATTGCAGCAGGAGGGAGATTGGAACGCCACGCCCAGACACACAGAGACACACACACACAGACAGACACAGAGACAGAGAGAGATGACAGACAGAGGACCTTTCACACAAGGGAGGAACAATATCAGACCTGAGTTTTTCATGACAGTGTAAATAGCACAAATTACACTGAATCTGATCTGTTCAGTTCTGATTTGGATCACTTTCATATAATCCAAATCAGATTCAGGTCTGATTTTTTGCAACGTGACCTCAGTGTGAAGAGTAATATCGGAATTCATGTGACTTTTAAGTCACTCTAGACTGACATTCATCATGGGGGTCACTCCAGGACCGTGACCTGTTCACACTGGAATCTGATATGGGCCACATTCTAAAAATAATGTGAACAGCCAAAAAAAAAAGACCTGAGCAATAAATCAGAAGTGAGCACTGAGGCTCACAGTGTGAACGCAGCCTAAGAATATCAATAATATAAATAATGCCTAACCAGTGACCTTAAAAACGTAGATTCCCTGGAGAACAGTTTGTATGTGGCATTGTCACCTCAAAAATAAACATAACATTTTAATTACTTAGTTTTTGCTAATTACTCATTTACCAAAATACCCTTTCATAGCTGTGGTTAGGGAGCAGCCACTAGCATATCAGAGGTGGACAACTGACTGCTTATCATAAGTTTAATGAAAGGCCGATATCTGTTGGTCTGTCTCCTACATTCCTCACTTCTCCTACATGCCGCTGAATAATAGAATAACTAGACTTGAGGTTTGTTCCCTGAATAACAAAATACTCAACAAATCATGTATAGGAGAGAAGGATATATCATTTTCTTGATGCCAGACAGATAGAGAGGCTTTTCTCAGGGAGGGCTTGATGCCAGTACCCACAGTCTCTGTTATGAAACATGACTGTGGTGCTGAGGTCTTTCTATATAAAACCATAGAGCCGTTAGTTTAGACCAGCAAAGACTTGTTAAAGTGACACCAGTTGGGTTCCACACTGGGATTGGAGTCAGTGTTGCAATAATTGGCTGTGGGAGCTGTAGGCTGGGCTCAAGTTAAAAATGACCACAAACCAAGCAGATTAGTGTTTGCACAAATTTCTGTAAATTTATTAGATAGCTGTTTGCACGTATTTGTTGTATATTTGGCTTGCTTGGCTTATAATATTTCAAGTATTACAAGCCAAGCATGTATAACTCAAAGCAGACTTACAAAGATGTTAATAAGTAAAAAGCATTAACCGTTAAATAGTATTGCCAACACACACAAGCTAATGCGATTTAGATTTAGTACTCATATTCCAACTTTTACCTATTTTAAAGCTGCAGTAGATAACTTTTATAAAATAACTTTTTGTCATATTTGCTGAAATGTTCCCATGTTCTGACAGTAGAACATGAGACGGATAATCTGTAAAAAAAATCAGGTTCCTCTGCCATTAGGGGAGCACTAGGAGGAGCCAGAGGAACCTGATTTGTTTTTAGATTATCTGTATCATGCACTTCTGTCAGAATATAGTGAAGGTTTATAATATAATATCACAAAAAGTTAATTTTATAAAAGTTACCTACTGCAGCTCTAAAGGCAGATGCAGGTTTTGGATCAAAGAGCCTATGTAAGTTGTGAAAGCAGAAATGACACAATCTTTCACTTAATGAAAACTTTTTTTTATTTGCGATAAAGAATAAACGTTCAATTCAGCACATTCAGGGGTTTTGCTGCTCTAGTCTTACTTGGGGTCTGGTGTGACCAGTAGCTTATGATGGCTAATAATGTTAGCAGACTTTAGATATTGCAGTGTAATTGACTCTTCTCTACTTGTGCTACTGATAAAACTGCCAGGCTAACTTTTTAAGATACTCTGTACCCCAAGATGGTTTGTTTACACAGACCCATCTGGGAAGTTGTCGTTGTAAACTGTTTGGAAAAGGGCAGGCCCTTTCAAAAAAATACTCAGCCGTCGATTGGATGAGCCATCTGTCTATGACCTTCTATCACCGACAAACTTTAACCAATCAGAACAATGAACCATATAACATAGTCAAACTCTTACTGAAGCCAGTCGAAAACATCTTTTCCATGGAGAAAAGCCTTCAGTGCAGTTTTTTGCTCTTCTTTCAATGAAAAAATACTGTCCAGTTCTGATATAACTGATGCTAGCAGAATTTATGCTATCCTCTTTAGCAGCCGCCATTATTGTTNNAATCCACCGGGCCTGGACGAAAACAACCAATCAGAGCTGAAAAAGATATAAAGACGCTTTGGGTTGGAAGCTTGACGATTGGGAATGAGACTCAACAATCAACCCTCTTTCTAGGCTCTGATTGGTTGTTTTCTTCCAGGTCCCAGTGGATTCTTGTAAATGTCATTAGGAGCGCTAGAATGAGCCAGAACCAAAACCAGCAGCCATTTTGACATGAAATAGTAGGATAAACCCAGGTGTTACCAATGATACTAATTAAGGTTCCATTCCATTTAATGTAGCAGAACCTTTCTAGTGAGCCAACATGAACAATAGCATCATCTTGACACTGTTACCCCACTATTTCATGTGAAAAGGGTCTGTTGTAAAGAGTCATTAGATAGATTTTGATCATAATAGATTTTGTTTCCCCACCCGTTCGATATCATAATTTAATTCATTCATATAAATTTAACTTGGTTTGTTTCTCGTTGTCGCAGGACTGAGGCCAGGTGACCTCTGCAGATGCAACAGAGACATGGAAGCATTGGATGGCTTATCCAGAACAAAAGGCAGTCCTGTGCCTTCTAGATTCCCACACCATGTTTCTTTTTTGCCAGTGTTTTTGGGGCGTTTGGAGAGGCCAGTGATGAATGGCAGCATGCCTGTGGTAGGGAGAAGGATGAGCAGTCAATGAGCAGAGGCAGGAGGTGAAATATGTCCTGTATGGATGACTTCACTGCTGTGGGTTTACACACTCATGACTTCCTCCAGCTGGCAGGAAGCAGTGGGGTTTCCACTGAGATGAGAGCACACTGAGCTTTGAGGTGCAACAGCTAATGTCAGCATCTAATGTCAGTCACTGTTGGGTATACCCACTAAATCCCCTCTGATGCACATCATTCTTACTGTTCTGTGAGCTGATTTTCTTTCTTAGGATGGCAAAAGCATGACATAGTGCAGTTTTCATGAGTGGGTGGAGTAAAGAATTCTTCAAGCAGCAGAAGATAAGTAACAATGAGCAATGAACAGTACTGGCCCATTTTTGACTAAACTGACTATACAAGAGTAGTCTCATATGTCACTGTTTATAACACTGTTTATATTTTGCTGGACCGGCTGCTTAAGAAAACTTTGGGGCATAAATTAAGTATACCCACTTCTCCAGGCACACCACTACACCACTACAAGGATGGGACGTTTTCCGTCAGTGGGTTTTTCCTACTTCTATTTTGGATTTACAATGAATATTCCTGTTGTTGTGCTTGGTTGTTAACATGAAAAGGTGATAGAAGCAGTTGTGTGATGAATTAAAAAAGAGAAGTTACCCAAGTCTGCCTAATTTTACAATAACTGTGTAAAGTGTGGGATTAATGTTTTTAGGAACATAACAAAACTTATTGAGTAAAAAAACATTAAAGGTGCTATCTAGAGCCAGTGTTTGTTTTGCCCGTTCTGGGCTACTCTAGAAATGCAGCAATCGGGCGCCTGGTTAGCTCAGTGGGTAGAGCTGGCGACCCATGTACCGAGGCTGAGTCTGCTGCCTGTCATCCCCTCTGTCTGTATTTAGCAGTCACTATCATAAAGGCAATAAAAGCCCCCAAAAAATACTAAAAAAAAGAAGAAGAAATGCAGCAATTCAACATGGTGGCATCCATAGAAGAAGACCTGCTACATAGAAAAGACCTCTGTACTCATTCTAAGGTAACATAAAATCTTATTTTTAGGTGATTAACACTAACTAACAGAGGCATTAATGCAAGAATCTGGCCACACGAAACATATCATTATACAGGGGTTGCACTTCAATATATTGTGATTATCTTGGTGATTTATTGGGATTTAAATAATAATAAAAAAAAACTGTCATCGTATAAAGAACCCACCAACATTATAGCCCTCAGTTTGTGTTTCTAACACTTGAGGGTTGGGGGGTTAAAAATGGACATTAAAACAATGCGAGCAGCAGTGTCTGATTGGAACCTCTGAAAAAAGCTCTTTATTGCGTTGTATATTAACCCAAATATATCTGAGGTATTATTACTGGTTTCCATGTGACACATTAATTTGTGTGTACCAATTAAATGTTAAAATCATTAAGTAGACATAAAAGTGGAAATAAAGTGGCACATGAACACAATGTTCTTGTAGGCAGCGGTGCAGACAGCTGATAATATCAGGTGTGCAGAGGGAGCAGAACCAGCAGTTACCCATAATGCAGTGCTATTTTACAGTCAACAAAATGATGGAAAGGGAGAAAACACTGAAAAATAAATCAAATCAGAATTCCTGGCTGACATGTATGGAGCATAGCGTTAGGTTGTGACGCACCGCCCTCTAGTGTCGGAAAACTGTCAGCGCAATGTGACACGTCATCAACAGTGCGCCGAAACCCTCTACGCATGCGCGAGAGCGAAGCGACAAATTTCAAACTGGACGGCGGGTAGTTTGTGGTTGAATCCTGGACAGAAAAAAAACAACAAAGGTTCATTGTCGAGGATCTAACCAAAGTGTGAGAAAATGAGCAGCACTCTGAAAGGAATTACTCTGAAAGGAAGCGCGGAGCTAGTAGCCGAGTTCTTCTGTAAGTATTTCTATCAATGGCGTGTGTTTGTACTGCAGCTGGCAGCGAGCGCTTTCGACACGCAGGCAGACGGAGCTAATGTGCTAAATGACCCGGCCTGTGCGGTAGCTACAGTACATACAGCCTGGCTATTTGAGCTCCATTAACATTACAGTGGTCAGAAATGCTTAAAGCGCCACCCTTCGTTTGACCACACTCTATTAGTTTTATTAAGATTTAAATTTAGGAACTGGAGCGTGTTCACAGTGGGCTGCACCGCCCACCACGGACTGCACTGGTGAACAAGTCGAGCGTAGCGAACGTAACAGGAGAAAGACTTCAGTTGACGGTTAAATTGTATGATGCTTAGCAGCTGTTTGGTGTTAATATATATATTTATACACCGAATTCACCAGAACACTATCAAGTGTTGGTAGAGCTGTTTGTCACCGCCTACGAGTTGTCTCTTTTGTTACTAAGCGAAGCATTTCTACATAGACTGTTAATGGACGAGGTTCGCTCACTGTATGTGTAAACTGAGCAGAGACACAGCAGCTGCTATATTTTTTAGCATTGTAAAGCTAATTCAACCAACCATTTCATCCTGAAAACCATATTCTAGACACAAATACTATTACTGTACGTGTTGACATTACATAATGTGTACATTTGTGTTTATCCAAACTCATCTAGTTAGATCTTTGTGATTCATTTTGAAGTAACGTTATAGCATATTTTCACCCATTGTAAAAGTTTCTGGAAACTTTTGCAATTTCATGTATATATATTTTATTTTTTATTGTATTTTTTTAGCCCACACTCCAACATACCTTTATATCTCTTTTTTCTATATATATTTGTCAGTTATACTTTCTGTGCTTTAGTGTTATCAGACGTAGTATGTTTTGGTATATTATTAAAATTGAAGATCACTGTATTTTCATCTTGTTTTAACTATTTAATTCACTCTTCCCACCGCAGCATTCGGCATCAACAGCATCCTGTACCAGCGGGGCATCTATCCTCCAGAGACCTTCACCAGAGTCACACACTATGACATGAGCCTTCAATTCACCACTGATTCCAAACTGAAGAATTACCTGACCAACGTGGTGACTCAGCTCAAAGGTAGCGTCAGTGGAGTGCCTCTTTATACCTGAACGCCTCACATTTGGCCATATCGCACCTTATGTTACACACTCTAAACTTTTCATTTTGAACTGGAGTTATTTTGCTGAATCCTCCCCAAAGACCTCTGAGACTGAATCTGACCTCTGCCTGAAGTTTTCCTGTTTTATATCATATTAAACTGAATATAACTGCTTTGTGTGGTTGTTTTGTACTGACTGAAGAAAGGAAGTGTTGCATTAGAACCCATTCAATCCTTTTGGTGTCGGGGTACAACTGAGTGTGTTGTTTGTGTGTTGCAGAGTGGCTGTTTGAGTGCACAGTGCAGAAGCTGGTGCTGGTGATCACATGTCTGGAAACCAACGAGGTGCTGGAGAGATGGCAGTTCGACATCGAGTGTGACAAATCGGCCAAGGAGAGCAGGTCAGGCGCTATGCTGTCTGAGTACTTCCCTTTATGTGTTGGGTCTCTGTGTGGTCATCGTAGTCACAGTCCTGTCAGATTCCAGCAGGTGGCAGGCATGAGCCATCTGAAGGGCCACACACACACTGTCCCACATCTGGCGTTAGTTCTTATGTCACTTGTTCCTGTTGAATCCCTTGTGTAGGCTGGGACTGCAACTCTTTTAATTGTCAATTAATATCACCTCATTATTTCAGACGGAGCGCCGAAGTCACCTCTGTATTAGTTGATCAGCTATAGCTCCAATAACACATGGAATGTCTTGGATGAATACATGTACTGTTACACCCCTGGTGTGTGTGTGTGTGTGTTTAGCTCTAACTCTGCTGTCATGTGTTCCACAGCGCTCCCAGAGAGAAGTCCATTAAGACCATTCAGGATGAGATCCGCTCTGTCATCAGACAGATAACAGCCACCGTTACCTTCCTGCCGCTGCTCGAGACGCCATGTGAGTAACCACACCGCTCTTTCTCTCTCTCTCTCTCTCTGCGGCCGTGTAAAGTGTCAGTGGACTAATCCTTCGCCCCCTCCTCTCCAGGTTCATTTGACCTCCTCATCTACACGGACAAAGACCTGGAGGTTCCCGAAAAGTGGGAGATTTCTGGGCCGCAGATCATCGACCAATCAGAGGAGGTGCGTTTGCGCTCCTTCACCACCTCCATCCACAAGGTGAACAGCATGGTGGCGTACAAGAGGACCGACTCGGTTTAACCCCCCCCCATCCCTCCACCCTGTGAGCTGTACATAGCACCAACCACTGCCCCTTAGAGAAAACTGTAGATTTTACACTGCCCCGTCCTACCTCGCTGTCTGCGTCTCTGTCCAATCTTCTGTCCACTGAGGACCCAGCGTTCTCCTGCCTTCGTTTCCTGAACTTCACTTGTCTTTTTGAGAAGGAGGTGGCGGCAAACCGCTCCGTCTACACTGCAGTGATTTGTCTCTCAGGAACAGCTGTCTCTTTTCTTTAAAACTGTCCCCCTTTCTCTCAAGTTGTCAACCTCTGTTTTAGAAGCTAGTGGTTTACATGTTAAACTTTTTATAAATAAATGTCTTTCACAAAGGTTTCTTTTTGTGGTTTTACTTCTTTTTACCAGTAGGTGGCGGTGCAACATAAAGTTACTGGGTGGTTCTGTGTATGAGTCTGCAGTGTACAGATTATAGAACAATACACAGAAGACAGAAAAAATACACATTACTTTTAAATGGGACAAAGCATTTACTTGACTCACAGTGTTCAGTGGTGTGGACAGTTTGCAGATACGGAACATCTTCATAATGGTACCATATCAGCATGTTACATTTTCTCACCTGCAGTAGACACCCACAAGTCTCTTACCTAATAAGAAGCCTTTCTCACTGGTGTAATGCCCTCTCGTGTGCATGCAACAAAACAAAAAGCCAAGCAGAATTCAAAACAACCCCAGAGACTGCAGCCGTCAGGAAATGGATATTTGTCTTTTTAAAGAAGCACAAAGGTTAAGTAACAGGCATATGTATTACAGCCCTGGAGACTGTCAGAGTACAAAACACAACCACAAATACATATGAGCCTTCTGAGCATGTATGTCTACAATAGTGCTCTAGAAAAGGGACAGTTCACCCCAACATCAAAACTACATATTTGTCCTCTAACCTGTTATGCTATTTATCCCTCTAGACTGGTTTGGTGTGAGTTTTTGAAGATGTCTGCTTTCTTTCCAGTATATTTAGGGACTATTTTCTTTCTACTGAACTGCACCTGCCAAACATAGCTGAACGTTAGCTATCTCTGCAGTACTGTCTAGCTACTGTTCTACCATATGAATGTGAAAAGTGCCAGAGAAGGACCAATATCTTTATTATCATAATCAGTTCTTACATGAACCAACTGAAAACTGGTATCGAAAGATGTATGTGTGGTTCAAAGCTGCGGGTGAAATCCTGTGTTCAGCGAACAGTGTCCACTGGTTCATCTGGTGTGTGAAGTTCGGGTACGTTTGCACACAGAGCTGCTGCTGCACTGTTCTGTATGGCAGTGGTTCCCAACCTTTTTGGTTTCTGACCCAATAAAATGTCCACTTGTGACTCCCTCATTACATTTTACAGTCTGAGTGTGAACCTGAGTGCTTTTTGGCTACCAACTGGAAGTTCTAAGTATCGAAAATAACCAAAGCTGGCATTTATTCACCATTCTGAAATTAAAATATGGCACCTGGCAGACATTGCACTTTCAGGCAGAACCCTGCTTGCCTTCGTGTTTCTAATGAAACTGTTTTTGGTTGCTGTAACTTGAAATGTTGTTTAACAAGCTTTAGTAATGTAACCTTGTCCAAAGGGTCAAGAGACACATGGGAGACTACTGCTCAGTGTAGCATGGGAGAGATGTAGAGCTGGTAGTCAGAGCTAACCAGCCATGAGAATCTACTGCTGGAAGGACAGGACAGTTTTCAGCTGTTATCAGTCTTACTAATGTTAACACAACCAGCAGCTATTTGTGAGAGGTAAGAATCGAAAAAAAATCAGCTTTATTAACATCGCGTGCCAACAAGAACCTACGTGACTATGTGTAATAATTTAGAGTTCCTTCAACCATTTAAGCTTTGTCTAGCCCAGTGGCGGTGGTGAGACATTGAAAGTGGTGCGAAGAGAAGTGACGTGATGTTTGGCTTTGTTCTCACAACTGTCACTTTTTTAATCCCCCTGGAGTTTGCAGGCCTGCTGGTACTGCAGCTCAAACACAGTAATGGAATGATACCCTGTCCTATAGTGTGGACATGTTGAGAGCAGTTCTACCAAGCAGCAACTTTATTTCTCCAATAGTTTAATTCAAAGGAAAGAAAAAAGCAAAAATTAGTTGGAAAACAAACAATAGTAACTTTGTATTACAGATTTCTTTCGTATCCCTTTAATCATCTGGTGCTGGTCAGGACCCAACTCTTGGGGGGTCCTGACCACTAGGTTGAGAACCACTGCTCTATGTTTGTCCATGTCTCACCAGAACTGTAATACACTAGAAAGTTTTAACCACTGGACAGCAGTGCAGTGGTGGTTTCTGCTCCATGTGAGTGTGATTTTAACCTTTAAATAACCTGTGTCAGCATATAGCCCAGATACTTTCTGAATTGATATGGAGAGAGCTTCTCACCAAATCTCACTCCACAGTCAGGCTTGAAACTCATCGACTGGAACCTTTAAGACAGTCTTGTTGGTTATTGTACTTTGCGGCCAACTGAGAAAAATACCAATTTTCTGTTTGGAAAATGGAAAAACAACCAGTTTTCCATATTTTCTTTTGAAAATAAAAACAAAAACACCTACCCATTCTCCATTTTTTTGTTTCCCTATTTATAAATATATGTCTGGAAACAGCTCATTTCCCAATTTTGGTTTTCTCATTTCAAAACAAAAATCTGTTGGCCTCAAAGTACACTCCTAGGACCCTTTTCACTCTTGAATTTCTTTATAAATTTAGGTTATGATGATTATTTGCTATATATTTGGTGAGTGTACCAGAGCTAGATCACACCCCGTGCCATCATATTGGTTGGTTTCTAGCAAAGTTGTCAATGTCAGTTACGTTCCATTGTTGGCTGCAAGTGACGTCAAAGTAGGAAAAACACAGTCTAGTCAGGATGCCCACAGTCTAACACACGTTACTCCATATTAAAATGGGTGTAAAAAAACAAGCTCTTGTAGTGGAAAAGCATGTGGACAAAACGTTTTTTTGTCTTTTAATTGTGAATTGGTCCTATTTTATCACAACAAGGCAGTGGAAAAATCTAGACCCATTTCCCTTTGAAATTGCAGGCCTAGTCTTTGGCTCTTTTACATTTTGAAAAAACAAAACAAAACACAAAACATTTCATTTCCAAATGTCATCTGAAAGAGTTGTTACTACGAAAGGTCCTTCAAAAAAGCAGAGATGGGATTTTTAAGTATGAAAACTACATTTCCTATATAAAGAATTGTGTGCTCTTGATAAAAGGATGACATACAATATAGAAACTCTAATAAATATATAAAACAAAAATAAATATGCAATAGTTAAGACAATGAGTGAAAAAAATGTTACAAAAGACTCAAAACCCTTTTAGTGTGTGTGCTGTGAACGAAGACATATTTAACAAGCTTATCAGATCATTGTGACACTATGTAAAGATATAGTACAATATCTGTATCCCACTGGAATGGTGCTGATCCCCAGGGATCTATGTCTTACCATTCAGTGTTCCCCTACGTTTCACTACCTGTGAGAGATAGTGTAAGTGAGACTTCAAGATGAAAGCCACTCTGTGCAAAAATAAAAATGGCTATGGTAATAAATATAGCTTAGTGCTGATTCTGTTATTTTCTCTGGTGAGTGAAAGCCATGAAAGAATGGTGACGACAGGAAGACGGGTCTCACAAAGCTTGGCGAAATGAGCACGACCTCTGAAACAAGGATTATGTGTTAGAAACGTAAAGTTGCAGTCTCAGTAGTTTATCATGGGACTTCTGAGAGTTAAATTCAGATGATGCAACAATTTCTTTATGGTTATATGTTAAGGGATATGACAATTTGGGTCTGATTATTGCAGTTTTGGCCATCATTTCTATCTGTTATGGTATTTATTCACTAAAGTAACTGCTGAGATCTGGGAGCATGGTGAGAAATGAGCTGTTACATAATCAGAAAGGTTGTAAACAGTTTGCAGAATTAAAGCAAGTACAGTAGGTCTAGTAAACTGTGACGGACATTAACAAGAAATTTTGGCTAGCAATTTTGTTGTCCACCTTAGTTTTCTCTTCCAAACAAGGTCGGCTATATGGGTTCAGGTTTTGCTAGCTTTAAGCTTGGCTAACAACACGGAGCGTCTGCTCACAGGTTAGCTGACTGCATCACTTTCACACCCCGTAGGGAATGCTAAGGCCTGGCTCAATGGATGGCAATGTTGGTATGTCAGTTGGTCCACCACATCTACTTAACAGACTGATTCATGGTTCCAAGACAATTCAATTTAATTAATAATGACTAAATGCTTGTAAAGCTAATGACATTTCCATAATTATCAGCTGTACTTTGTGTCTAGGACTCGTTAGCAAATGCTAACACTAAAATGGTGGTAATAGTATAATACCTCACCACAGTACCCTAAATATCAGCATGTTAGCATTGCCCTTGTAGACCTGTTAGCATATTTATGTTAGCATTAAGCTCAAACCACCGCCTGACTTCTTGGCATGGTTCTTAGTCTTCTTTACTGTTGCTGCCACATTCTCAGATCTGAGCAATTCAACTTGGTGATTAGAACCTTATTATTACAGAGAGGAAGGATGGACAAGCCTGAAAAAATAAGGCAGATTAATAGAAACTGGATTTATTCTTTTAAGTGTCAGAAAATCTGCTCTAAGGTTTCTAAAGTTGAAGGGAAGGGGGTCTTCCCTTTCACTGACAAACCAACCTTTTTTGTTTGGTCTTTTTGTTTTCCTAACACATCATTTTTTCCTGATATGGAAATTAATTAATTGGTTCTTGTAGGTATCATGCTAATTTCATCAAGTTTTATGAGACCAGGTTGCACAGGGCGAACCCTGGGAATTGGTGTTGACTGAGAGCCAAACTGGTGTTGGGATCACACCAAGCCGTTGACCACCCCCTTCTCACACTCCTCGGCCAAACGCTTCCAATGCTGCCGGTTTTTCTGACACCCTTCCAGCAACGGGGAGCAATACTCCGACATGCCAGCCAAGGTCTGTGACAGTGACAAAGACATTTTATTTAACAAGAACAAATTAAATGAAGCAGAAAGTGTAGTTACCGCAGGTTAAATTGGTTGAATTACCTCATATAACTGAGTGCAGATGGCATCAATGAAAGACACCTGCATGCTGGGAATCTTATCTCTTTTCTCACGATTCATCAGGTCCTAAAGTTAAAGGATAGACAAAAATTACAGAGAGCAATATCAGGATCAAATGAGTGCAAGTGCATAAACACAAAATGATACATCATCAGTAGAGTTCTTAAATGAGATGCCATGTCCAGGCAAAAGCATGTGAAGATTAAAAATAAAAGGACCCACAATGGACCCCTGAGGCACACCACAGGTTATGTTTTTACTTATTAGAAAAGTAACCATGAACTGACAGACTGAACTTACACTGGGCTCAATGTTCAGCTCACGTCTCTCCTTATCCCCCTGTTCAAAGAACTCAGTGGCTACCAGCTCTGCAATCTGCATGAGAGAGACGACACTGATGAGTTCATATATAGTATCTTCACAAGTTGATTTGAAAATTCAATGAAACAAGAATATAACAAAAAAAGCACAGCAAGGATATAAAAATATCTAAAAACACTTTTAATTCCAAACGCATTTACTACAAGCAAAAACTGTCAAGAGTGGTTTTCCTGCTATATCTATGTGAGACAGCACAGAAGCAACCTATTAATGTATCACAACAAGGAAAATATAGTTTGTTAAGGTTGCACAGATTCCACTTCTTACACTAAGTTTTCTCAATTTTCTCTGTCAACATCACTATGAAATCCTCAGTTTGATTTGGATGTGACTTCAGGTCAGTGGGATGTATGACGTTTTAGCTAGGCAAATCACAATGCTGCTCTATTGTTGTACTTAACCTCAGAAACTCTCTGGCATATCTGTGACAGCTAGAATTTCAGCGGAGGCATTTTAATGAACATCCTAGGAGGCTGATTTTACGGCCGAGGTTAGACATCCTACCACGGTGAAGACATAATGCTTCTCCTGCTGCCAGAGTCAACATTGCCAAACTGTAACATTATGAAACGACTGGAAAGGAAGGAGATAGACTAAGTATATATACAAAGACAGCGAGAAAGAACGACAGCGAGAAAGAACACATGCGACAGCTTGAAGAAACAAGGAAAAACAAAGGCAGCATCAAAAGACAAAGTAAAATTGAGTAAGAAAGAGGGAGAGGTCTGCCAAAAGAGTGGTAGTCCCTCTAAGTTAATGGTCTTCGTCTGTTTACAGAGACGTAAATGTTATGTGACTGCAGCCTCGGGCTCCAATCAGTATCACTCTGTGTATGTGTGTTAAAGCCATCTGCAGCTCACTGATTGAGTCTGTAATCAAGGCTCAGTTCTATAGAGCTGCAGGGGGACTCAGCCAGAGAGAGAGCTTATTATAGCTGACTAAAACCAACACTAAGCATGAGGCAAATGTTAACCAGTGAGGCTAAGTCATTTAGTCTTTATTTACTTAACCTCATGTCAGTCAAAACACCAACATTTTTTTGTCTGCATAGCAGAACAAGTTAGCTCCACGTCAAAATAACTCCAGTGGTCAGGGGCCACTTCATTAGACTTCCAACAACAGCAAGAAAGATCTACTACTGGATTTATGAAAGCATTTCAGACTGTGGACTTTGGACAATGGCTGCATGCTTAACCCATGTGATCATGAACAGTATGGTCAAGCAAATAAAACTTTGGGTTCATTGGTCATTTAAGGCCACCTAAAACAAAACCAAGTCCAACCAAGTCATGTATTCTGAGAAATCTCTTTTGTGCATCATTTCTGTCAGTTGAGACAACATTGTACTCACCAACATAAGTGTGGAGATTAGTGAATGTGCTGACATCGCTTTAACCAAGTCCCATGGGAAAATCAGTTGTAAACAAACCAAGAGTTTATCAAGATTATCTAAACCTCTGTATTTGGAGGTCAATCTGAAAACAAGGGGTGCCCAAAATGGACTGCAGTAAGTCTGGGAGGTCAAAGCAGAAGCAGAAAGTCAGTCTGTAAGCTTTAATGGCCATTTAAAACAGACAGGTTGGATAATAATTGTACACCGTCATTAGAATTCCAAATAAGTATGCTAAACTAAGGGGTTTGTTTAAAACCTGTACAATACGGGAGACAGCTATATGTGTACAGGTTTTGGGTCCAAGACAAATTTACCTACGGGGACAATAAAGTATATTGTATCGTATCGTACCGTATCATATGACACTTATACTCTGACGTCTTTTTAGCAATGTCACTATAGCACCATATCCCAACATTTCCTGATTCTCTACACTGTTAGCAATCAAATAATGGCAAAATCCACCACATCCTATTATTAGGATTATTATTAGGTTTCTATAGTTGTTTAAAGCGGCATTCAGCAACAGAGCTAAAAGGAGAGTGATTATTGGACTTACATTCATCAGGTGACCAAAAACACAACAATACTGTGTTCATTGCTTGTTCTGGTGGCCAACATTTTTTTAATACTACTTTAATCTACTGTATGCTGAAGTAGTAGCATGCATACTGGACTGATCTATGTACCAGAGACTTCTTTTTGGTGGCAGGCATTTCATCACTTCCTGGGTAAGGTATCCAGTGGATTAAACTTTAAAAAACTGATTAAAATTTCACCTGAAAACTAAACCCAAAAGTAACATATTATGCAAATAAAAAAGCTTCTATGCCAACAACTAGAAGATGAAGAGGAAATAATCTTCCCATTGAGTTTAGAGGAACTGTATGATAATGAGATCCGGATGAGGTGCTAGTGTGTGTGTGTGTGTGTTTAAGTGAGAGAACATATTTGCATGTGTATTCATGTTTACTGCCCTGAATGTTTTTAGAGGTGTCATCTGAGGACAGGGGCACAGCTGTTCTTATTAATGAGCGCTCACTTGTCAACTTGCGCGCGCACACACACAAACACACACACACACACACACACCACACACACAGTGTGTGTGCCTGTCCTGAACCTCATCTCCACTGTTGCCTGTGGGTTCCCTAACGAGGTGCAACTAACGGAAGGTCAGCGGGAGATGAAACAACAGGGACACAGCTCGAGATGGGTGAGGGTGGAAACAAAAAATGTGTGTGTGTGAGAGAAAGGGAGAGGGAGGGAGAGTGTTAAGAAGTAAACAGAGTGTGAAATGGCAGAATCAAAGAGTGATGTCACAGCAGGTGTTTCTCATTAGTTTCCAAAGGCGATGCACCTGCTGTGACATCATTGATTAGGGTGTGGCCTGAAGTGCACACTATCATAAAATAGAGAATTCATCTTTGAAGGAATTTAATTTAAAGCTGCACTAATCAATATTTTTATATTAACAATGGATCAAATGACTATGTGCAATAAGAAAAGTGCTGCTTGTAGTTATAAACCCACAGAAAATCACCATCTAATTCTGTAGTTTCCCTCAGCTCTCATTGTTTTGGTTTTCCAGCAGCAGCAGACAGATGTTTTCAGAAGAAAAAGCAATGATGAACCCACTGTGTGCTACCTACCTTGCACCAAACAGCAGACACACAACACAGTTAGTGACTAGGTGATACAGAAAGTGGAATATGTAGCAGCTAAAGAGGCAGAGGTTTTTACCAGGAATTAGTTAAAAGGAGAATACTGGACTTTCATACTAATGCTAATGTTGCTGTGTGTCTCCTGGATGTGTAAATAAGCAACTGCTAGCTAACGTGTGACTAGCTAAGCTGCGGTTTAGAACTAGTTAAGCTAACCTGGAACTTCTCTGGTTTAAAAATACAGCTGTGTGGGCGCCCGGTTAGCTCAGCTGGTAGAGCTGGCAACCCATGTACCGAGGCTGAGTCCTTGCTGCAGCGGCCCAGGGTCCGAGTCCGACCTGCGGCCCTTTGCTGCGTGTCATCCTCTCTCTCTCTGCCCCCCTTTCCTGTCTATCTTCAACTGTCACTATCAATAAAAAGGCAATAAAAACCCAAAAATAATACTTAAAAAAAAATACAGCTGTGTGCTGGGCCTGATTGCTGCGTTAAAACTAGCACAGCTTCATTTGAACCACAGCTAAACTGTAGCTGAACCAACGTATAATGAATTTGTGTCTGCTGAATGTCAGCCATAATAATTTAATGCGCTGATAATGTGTATTCTATTGCTGCCATAAAGTGGCAATAAATATACAGCTTTAAAGTTATTTCATTTAGTCAGTGCAATTTATTTTATTTACAGTGGTTTAATTGTTTTTTATTTGTCATTTAAAATCCAAACTTTTGGGACAGTACCTTATAATTGACTTCTGTTTCTTCCCGTATGTGTCAAGTGAAAGCAGAGTGCACTGTGCCACCGATGTGACAATAAGCAGCCCAGGCAGACATGACACAACAATTTGAGAAAACCAAATGAATGCTTTACACATACTGATTATCTTGTTTTTTGTGCTGTGCAAAGATGAAAAACACTGTATGGCTTATGAAGAAGAAGAAAAGCAAATTGTCATTACTAAGAAACCAGAAGTAATTGAAGAGAAAGGATAATATATACCAGAGAAGTCTGGAAATTGTAGTACAACCAACACATACAGATGAATAAGAGCCATATGAGACTTTCTTTTACCCTTTTTTGCACTGGCCAGGGCTTGGTGATGGCTGAGATGTCACATGCAGTCATCAGCATTGACCTGAAGGGGGAGATACATTGACACACATGGATCTTCACAGAGCCACACCTCACAGATAACTGTCAATGGTAGCTCCTCATAGCATTAGGCCACATCCAGTTGTTCTGAGTCAATACCTAGGGCTGGAAGCTGGTATGTTTTAAAATCACTTTCTGGGAATTCTGGGAAATTGCAGCTGCAGCTTATGCACAAAAATTTAAAATTCAGGTTGTATCAATAATTTGTCATTTATTGATTATTTACTGCTTCATAAAGAACAGTTGAGTAAACAGTAACTTCATAACACCCCCATACTGTACACTGTATACATACTGTATGTATACATATACACAGTACTTTTAGTTGCCCTCTTAAAGGAATAGTTAACGTTTTGGGAAATATTATTTGCTTTGTGTTGGAGTTTGGAATGGAGATGTGATTAGCCTAGCATAAACACTGGAAGCAGCTAGCCTGACTCTGTTAACGGCAGTGTCAATTCTTACGATCCCTTAAGAAACTTTTTTTTAAAGTGCCTATTGACACATTCTGCATTTTTGTGGGCGGCCCTTCACTCAGCTGCTCTCTCGACTTATTAATATTAATTCGACCAATCAGAGTTTACCTAATTTCAGGTTTTTACTTGGCATCACTAGTTATGTGCTGGAACTATTTCTTAGTCTCCCCAGCTGTTGGTAACTCCGGAGTGAAATACCATTATGCCAGTACAGCAACCAAAACCAAACCCTGTGCTCACTGATTGCATCTGGCAACCTGTGTTTTAGTTAGAGACTAGAGAGAGTGTGTTAATGTGTGTGTTGGTAGGTATATCTGTGAAACAGGCTAACTGTTTTCCCCTGCTTCCAGTCTTGATGCTAAGCTACACCAAGCAAAGCAGTGCCAAACTACACCCTGACTCCAGCTGTTTACTGAACACAGATATGAGAGTGGTATCAGTCTTTTCATCTCACTCTTGGAAGGAAAGCGAAACGTTTACTTTAAAATCAAAGTGCGAGTCCTATTGATGAACTTGTACAGTATATTTTGGCATTTCCACCGCATGGTATGGCTCGACTCTACTCACTCTTTTTTGGTTTTCGACCGTGGATAGTACCTGGTACTGGTTTTGGTATCGCCTCTGTCAAGGTTCAACGCGAGCTGAACTGACACTAAAAGGTGATGTGAAAACACTGCAGACCACTGATTGGTCAGAGGGTATCTTCAGCAGCTTGACATGGGACTTCCTGCACAAACCCGCCATTTTTAATTACAAGCTGCCATCAATGGTGACCACAATGTTTTAAATTCACTCAAAAATAGCCGCAAAACCACGCTGTGGTCAGTTGATGCAGGCATCATAACACCAAACCTCTATTATCAGAGTAGCAGCTGTGTGCGTAACTTGTGTATGCTTGAGCGAGAGAGCGGGCAGCAGAGAGTGGTGGATGTGAGATGGAGCAGAGGAAAAGGTGAGTTTGGCAGTAAATGTACAGTGTTGGTTACAGTTTGTCAGTGAATAAAGGCTGCATCTTCTCCAGACCAAAGTAAAGCTCCCATGTGTTGTTCCCTAACTGCTGGAATAGCGTTGCTATGACGATCAGCTCTATGTTGATTGGGGTACTGTCAGTGGAAAACGAAGTAGAGGTACCAAAAGCTGAGTGGAGTCGAGCTGCACTATGCGGTGGAAATACAGCTTTACATCCACTCTGGGTGTTGGAGTTTTGGAGGGTCGGTACTCACCTCAGTAAGTCTCTGTGATGTTCGTCCTCCCAAACAAACTGGCTGTTCTTGGTGAGCTCAAAGAACTCCCCGCGCCTCCTGACAACACACACACGTACAGCAACACAGCAGGTAATTATCCCCATGTAACTACCTACGTATCTCCTCTACCACCCACTGTCTAGACTGAAAGAGGGATGAGATGAGAGTGGAAATCACTGAGGTGGATAAATGAAAAAAGAGGGAGTGGAGGAATGGTAATAAATTGATTTGATAATATTAAAAATTTATTATTTTTATTATCTTTACATTGTTCAAATTTTGGCAAAATGATAGGTGTGTTTTTTTTCTGTAACCAAAGATACAACCGCGCTTCAACTTGGCAAACATAATACAACTAGAAATTATCTTTCAATAGATGTGGAAATTTCCTGCACATCCTGCTATGCGTATGAAAATATCAGGGGTATAATATTGTTTATTGCAATTATTTCTTGGACAATATACCGTCCAACAAAAGAAAGGCCTAGCTGTGCATCATTGTATGTGTTTAAATTGTGAGTTCCAAGCTGTTATAAAGGAACAACCTCTGGTTGAATGTAAAAACTTTGTGTTTTATTGTGTGGTACTCTGAGTAAACCACAATAAAGACCATGTCAGTATCCTGGAAGCACGAGGCGGGTGTGATCTTGAGATGAAACAGTTCTGTAATCACGGCCAGTCAAAATACTCCAAAATAGCCTCCCTTCTTTTCCCTCTGCCCAAACTGACTTTTTCCCTTCTGCCCCCCCCCCCCCAACCCTCTCCAGTCAGATTTCCATCTGGGCTTGACGTTTGGTACTTACTTCATGTACAGGGCCAGGTCAGTGGCCAGAATAGCCCTCTCGATCATCTTCAGAGTGGCCTTGTACTCGTCCAGGGAGAGACTGCTCAGGATCTGGTTTCCCTGGAGAGAGAGAGAAACGTAGAGAGAGAGAGTTATGTAAGTGCAGAGACAGCACTGTATTTTATTTAATCAAAGTTTGACAGTGTGTGTGTACACAGAGTGAGATAGCATCCTTCTGAGGAGTAGATACTATATATTGATAGCTTTGACCACAGTTCGTACAGTGATAGGCCACCAAAGGGGGTTTCCATGGCAACGCTAAGCTGCAAAAGCACACAAATAAATAAAATAACTGAATCCAGCCCACATGTCTTGAGTGTTTATTAGCATGCGAGTTGACACATTATTCCATGTCCTTTACATTTGAAGTGCTCTTAAGAGTCTGTATTTGCATTAATGCCTCTCGGCCTGTATGTGACAAAGTGTGCGGCAGGGTGTGTGTGAGTGTGTGTGTGTGTGTGTGTGTGCGTGCGTGTGCACGCTCTGTGTGAAGATGTGTCCGGCAGCAGTAGGGTTAAGTGGAGCTGGGAGTGTATTTAGAGTTTGTTTTGAGGCCATAAAGATCAGAGCAGACTGCAAGTCGCTGTATTTTATTGGGCCATCAGAGTGTTCTGTGGCAGGCTAACAGCTGGAAAACGAGCCGAATAGGCATAATAAATAAGACGAGAGAGATCCAGGATCCTGCAGCAAGCAGGCACCAACATCAGGTTCCTGTAAACAGCCAGTGTTTCCCTGCGACCTCTGGTTGAAATGATTTGAACTGTGACCCAGTTTGAGGATGACCTTCCAGTGAGCTTTCAGCCTGATTACAGTTTTATGCGATGTGCACATCACTGATAACATTGTTTATGTAAAGGCTGTAAATCCATTGTTATAAGGCTCTTTACAAGCTTAAAAGTTCAGCTCATCCAGTTACAATAACACACAAAAATGCAGATGGTTCTTTTTTTTTTTTTACCTCTGAAGCATATCAGATCAGGTTTATAGAAATAGATGCTGCTGCTCATTCTTTTTTTCTAAATTAAATGTTTCAGTGAGTGATTAAGAGAACTCCATTTAACAGACAGATATCAAAACCTAAGCAAATAAAGCCAGAACTATCTGCTGGATCACACTAATGACTGTTATGTATGGACTGACCCATTCAGGCCTGTACATGTTATCAACAGAAAGGCATTGTTTTTCTATGAAGAGCGATTACACTGAAATGATCTGAACTGTGACCCAGTTTCTAGTCTGATTGCATGTTTATGTGACCTACACGTTGCTGCAAACAAAATTTGCTTTTTTTTTTATTTAAAGAGTTTGTTATAAAGCACTTCAAGCTGCAGTAGGTAACTTTTATAAAAAACCTTTGTCACATTTGAAACTTTCACTAAATCCTTGTAACAGTCCCTCATTCTTTTGTACCTGCTGCTGCTTTAATTTCCCTCTTCCCCCGTTCATCTTATCTGAATGTTAAAAATTCCTTGGAGCTGGTTGGAGGGTTATTCAGATCACCTGTTGCACAGGCTGCAGGGACCCACTCCTACAATGATTGAGAGCATTTGGTGCATTCATCTCTTGGTCAATCATGGTGTGTCTTTAGGGCATAAGAGAGGTGGGGGAATTCTGACCCCTCCTTGATTGACTGTAGACGTTAGAAGCCAGAAATTCTGCTCTTTTTTGTTTTCTGACTGAAAGTCACTTTGAGCATTTTGAACCTGAAACCTAGCTTGACTGAATATTATAAGGCTTTTAAGCTTGTAAAGAGCCTTATAACCCATTTCCACAAGGTTGCACCAGCTGAGATCTGTGGACTACTGCCACATCCTGACAGTAGTACATGAGACAGATAATCAGTGGAGAAAAAAAGGGTTCCTCTGACTTCTCCTAGTGCTCCTAATGGCATTTGCAAAAAACTCCCGCACCTGAATGAAAACCAATCACAGCCAAGAAATATAGTTGAGACTCATTCCTAGGGTAGACAGAGTAACCCCACATTATCTGTCTCATGTACTACTGTCAGGACGTAGTGAACTTTAAGCAAATATGACAAAAGTTATTTTATAAAAGTTACCTACTGCAGCTCTAACAAGGAAGAGATAACAGTAAATAGCTTAAACTAGATATAAGACACCAGGCACACTCAGAGGACCCTGGAGTAACACTAGGTGGCTGTAGAAATGCTCATGTAATAAAAATGTTGCACTCATAATGTAGTAAATGATTAAATGTGTGTTAGTTGTTACATTAGGCTATTTGATCAAATAGTGACACATTAACGTATTGAATAGTGTAATAAAAAGCCAAAATAAAATGATAAAATGCTTTTAATTACTTTTTATGTATGAATATATTTGTGATAAGCAGCCCTACACACACCTGGATGGAGTCTGTCTTAAGTTCTTAGTAGCTGGTTTCCATTAAATACCTAAGCTCATAAAGACTTTTACTGAGTAAATCGGCTGCTAGGAAACCTCTGTATCTCTGTCCAATCAAAACCAACTATGCAAACAGGAAGTGACTGTAGCATCACATGCTGTACCACAACTTTACAAAATAATAGTTTTGTTGTGCATTTGCAAACATGGATAAATGCAATGAGTAGAAAATATCCAATTATGCTAACATAACCAAATTGGTTATTTATTCTGATGTTTCACAACAACTTAGTTGCAACAGTAGTTTCAGGTATATTATTATTATGTTATTTTTGTGAAATGTAATTTAAAATCTAAATCTTCCCAGTTTAAAAATTCTTATACAAATCAAGTATCAGGTCAGATTCGTCAGTGTGACCATTTCATCTTCTACTCCTCATTGTAAACAGGTCCTCTATTAGCAAGGTAAAGTTAGTTTTGTCAGTTGTTCAGTTAAATCTGAGACCTGGGTCCAGTTCCTGGCAGGAAGGCCTACAGCTTGGCTGGGCTCTGTAAGCCACATCGTTGGTGGATTGAGGGATTTTGGGGGGAGTGAGTCTAGTCTGAGTTGGAACGGAGAGCTTGCCAACCCATAAAGGTCTTAACTGAGGATACACATAATACTTATTACATTACATGCAAAAAGTCATTGTTTTATGTGCACAACAGTTTTATTACATTATGGGCATGCTATTACATTACCAGTTTTTATTATATTTTTTATTACATTATAGGCAGTCATTAAATGATCAGTTCTACTGTGATTTTTGGCATTGGCAATGTATTCTGGTTACTGCAATAGAAAAGGCCTGACCACCTTTAACTGGAATCAGGAACACGACATCTAATCTATTGTAGGACCACATCAGACATCTAACCTGAGACCTACTGTATGATGTGCAAGACAACACAGAGCTCTGCAAACTGTGACAATTCTGAAATCATTTCTGAGGCTGGCTGGGAGCCATGTAGGGACACCAGGAGGGGAGGGAGATAGGGAGCCTCTTGATTGCGCCTGCCAAGAGCTCAGCTGCTGCATACTGAATCAGCTGCAGCTGTGAAAGGCCAACTAATGTCATGTTTTGCATATCTGTGATGAAGATAAAATCGGGTGCGAAAAGACAATTTGCCTGATGTTTTTGTTGCCTGTGTCTTGCTGCTACTACACTCACATCCATGATGATGATGACAGCTGTTCCTTTGCTACACTCACATGTAACTGTAGGCAGCAGCTCTATGTGGGCATGTTATCGGACATCAGCTGGATATAGTAAGTGTTTGGTGCTTGTGATCAAATTTGTGTTCAGCTGTATTTTTGCTGGGAACAGCTGCCTGTGGGGGTTGGATGAGTGTGTTTCAGACTCAGTTATACCATAAATGGACTGTAAAATGAAAGCAGTGCACTAGAGCACAGGTAGGCAACCTACGGCTCTGGAGCTCTTTAGCCCCTCTCCAGTGGCTCCCTGTGGCTTGAAAATGATATGGAAATTGCATTTTTTCGTTTATCATTTGTCATTGCTGTAGGCCTAAAGTGATTCTTCCATTCTTCCAAAATGTGTAGCCAATACTCAAAGAATAACAGTAAAATGTGCGTCAAATGTTACGTCCTGATCTGGTGCCTTTTGCTTTATATTCTTTGTAAAACCTTGATAGCAGTAGCTACTAGTCTTGAGCCTCCTTTGCTAGGATATTTATGATTTCCAAATCCAATAAACAGAAAAGTCTTGGAAGAAAATAGAGAATGTAATAGTGCATGAACAGAAAATTAGAATAAATGCCTGTTTCCATCCATTATCATATGTGATTATTAGGAGTTGGTTCATTGAGATAAGAAGTAAGTGGTGTCAAATCTCCAATCAGAAAACGAGAAGAGGGAGCAATAGATAGCAGGGGCAGAAAAAACAAAAAGGGCACCAGTGCGCAGAAAGTTGTAATGCATTTATGGTAAAACAATCAAATGCTGAAAAACTTTGCAGAAAACAGGATGTAAAAATTACATTTCTGTTAGTTTCATGTCATGTGAATGAAATATTCGCTTATGTGTAAAAAGCACAAGAAATTTTTTTTGCGAAATTGAGGTTGTTTATTTCAGGTTTTGCTGTTTCTATCAAACCTTTTCTAAATGCGCATAAAAAAGTTTAAGGGGGTTAATTCACATTGCAAAGTCACTTGCAAAGAGTTGATATTAAAATGTTGTTTAAAGATGCACTAATTAATATTTCTATATGAACAATGAGTATGTGTAATGTGGACACGCAGAAAATTATCATCCAACTCTGCAGTTCCCCTCAGCTCTATGGTACCTTTTAGTGTCTTTCAGCTGATTGTTTTAGTTCAGTTCCACTGCTCTCATTGACCTTGTATCCAGCAAAAGCAGACAGCTGTTTTCAGCAAGAAAGCTCTGATGAACCCACCGTATGCTACCTGCTCAGCAGCAAACAGCAGACAGACACAGTTAGAGACTAGCTGGTGAACAAGAACCAGATATTTTTCTCATGTTGGAGACCAAACCAGAGCTAAAAGGAGAGTGAATATTGGACTAAGATTTATCACGTGGCTGTAAACACAACTCCAAATGAATGCTGATGCTGCTCTGTGTCTGCTGAATGTGTACTGACACTGGATGCATACTCAGCAGGACATTTCACAGTGGAAAAATAACCCCGTCAGTACAATAAGCTGATATCAGCTGATATATCGGCCTGGCTAATTTATCTGTCCGGCTCTAATAAATAAGGTCTTTACAGCTTTGTGTTTGCATTAAGAGGGACATGTGGAAATGGGAACCCAAATTTTGTTTGAGTTCATGCTGCTGCTACCATCAAGCACCTAATAACAAGCAGTAGATTGCTTGTTAGACAAAGTAAAAATCCATTTGTTTCCTCTACTTTGGTAGTTGGAAGGTAGAGAGATGGATGATGGGCTGACTGGAAGGCTTTCTATGTGTGTGTGAATGAGTGCACCTACGGGGCTGTTGAGGATCATGAGGCAGTGGTCAAAATGGTGATGCTCCATGGTGGAGTGGCAGTAGAGCTGGGCCAGTGGGTGGTCGCTCCTGGACACACAATCACACACAAGAAATAAGAAACGCACAGAGTGGATACACATGCTCTCACACATGCATATACAATCATACATATACTTATATGACTCATGCTCTCCCGCTGTACCTCTGTATGTAGGAGTTGTTGACTCCTCTGTGGTCCAGGTCGTGGCTGAGAGTTGCAATCATCAGAGCCAAGACCTCCAGATCGCTCAGGTTATTCTGTGAAAAGACGGATGAAGTGAAAAAGCACACACTATAGTTTGTGTGCAGCTGCTAAACAGATGACAATCTGTTGCCATGATCAAACCAAACAAAAGCCTCATAGCTGTGTCCACACAGTGCTGTTGTAACTCTCTACACATTGGCAGTGTGGGTACTCAGCACGCAGCCTGGAGTAGAAAGCGAGGCCGTTTCTACATATGACACAACAGCTTTTACAACAGAGCTGAAAGCAGGGCTCCAGCATGGCTGATACCAATAGTTCCAGACTGCAGCTGCTGATAGCTGCCAGTATTTTATGCAATAATCAGTTTTTTGTGTCAAGGAAGCCACTGGGCTTTCCAAAGAATTTTATTGTAGGGGATCATTTGAATAATTTTAACCATCCTTTATATGTCTTGTTTCAAGGGATAGTTCTGTTATTTTGAAGTGTGGTTGCATGAGGTCAAAGTCATCTACAGTAGACGGCAGAAAAAAAACTCGAACTCGTTTTATTGCTCTTTCCAAAGCCACCCGACTCCTTTGAGAAAATCCTCGATCTGCAGCAGCTAATATTAGTCTGCATTCAAACTAACGTGTTGAAACACCAATAATGTACACAAACAAACTGATCACGGCAGCGGTAGATCAGCAGCTCCTGTGTTCCGTGAGCTAAAATTATTGTTTTTTTCAATGGAGCTTTGAAGAGAGCATAGATTAAACGCTTCAGTTTCCTGTCGAAAACGGTTGTCTGATGGCAAGGTAAAGCAGTGACGTATTAATTAACTACTGCCCCCACCCACAGCAGTACATTGCTTAGCTTTGGTGCTGGTACTGTTACTGCTACTGGGGGCATGCCAACCACCTTCTACACTGACAATGGCCAAGTACCTCATACAACCCCACTTCAAAATACCCGAACTATTCCTTTAAATTAGCCCATTAGCTTCAAATCATGTAACTTTAACATAACATGCCAACGATTCTCTAAAGATCTTTCTAAAACACACTTTTAGGTTGATAACCTACATTCCATGGAACTAACTGTTTCAATTTTATTTATGTTAAAAGACAACTTGCCAAGACCAAGAACTTGCTTTAGATTGATCAGATGGCTTCATTTATTCTAATTTTTTGTTCAAAGTTATGTTATTGGTAATTCAGATGTAAGTAGGAGTTGTGGTGCATTCAGGGAAACAATTTGGAATATTAGAGAGACCAACTTTTCATAAGCAATAAATGACTTAATACAGAGCAACCCCCATGTTTAGTTTTTCTTGTTTATCTCTGGGGTAGATAGCACGTTAATACAGTGCTTTTCAATAGCATACTATCAATGTTGAATTTTACTATACATTTTTATTTTTTATAATTAAATTTAAATTATTATTATTTTTATTTATATTTATTGCATGTATCAAGGAGAGACTTGGAAAAAGAGAGGTGACAGTTAACAGCAATGGATTTTTTATCGCAAGTTCAATTCTCCACAGTGCCGTGAAATGAACTTAACCTCTGGCTGCCTGGAAGGGAGGAAGTCATTGATATGCTTTAAAAATGAGTTGCAGTAAAGCATGTTAGATGGTCCCTTTAAAGCAAGGATAAAACATATGGAACTGAATCAGTGACTCTCTGGATCTTAACAAATCAGCTCATCCAGACCAGTGATTGGCTGCACTGACCTGTAAGCGTCCCGACTTGAGGAGGGCGAACATGCTCTGAGCAGTGTTGAAGGCGTGTCTCCAGTTGTGATAAGCCACATTCTTCCTGTAGTTCTTTTTCACACTCAGAATCCACTGGCATAAACTCTACAGGAGAGAGAGAGAGAGAGAGAGAGAGAGAGAGAGCAGGAAAATAATTATTCGACTCTTTTCCAGGGCTGGAAGTGCACCATGTGAGCACAGCATATGAATATACAGACAGGTATACATACCATATACCATATATACAGAGGCTTTTATTGCCTTTAATCGATAGTGACAGCTGAAGATAGACAGGAAAGGGGGAAGAGAGAAGGGATGACACACAGCAAAGGGCCACAGGTCGGATTCAAACCCTGGGCTGCTGCAACAAGGACTCAGCCTTAGTACATCACCAGGTGAGCTATATGGGTGCCCCAAGCTCCAAGGCTTTTAATGTGAAACATCTGAGCTTTTTTTTCGAGTCCCGACTTCACACCCTGCCCAAAAACATACCACAGCAAAAAAATAGAGGCAGAGCGCAGGATCTCTGCAGATACAGACACCTCCACACACTTCTAGTGGGTCATAAGTGATAAT